GTCGTTTGTTGATGTGGTTCATAAGTGTTTCTCGTTTTATATATAGATTAGACCGTTGGTTTTCCTGTTTGAATGGTTTTACACAAGTCATTTTGGGGGCCCTTTATAGCTTGCTGTTTGGTGTGAGCCAAGGCTCCGTGTTAAAGGCCGTACTTTGACCTTTACAAGGTTGACTTGAATGGAGAGTTGTCTCATTGGCACTCATACCACATCTTCTTTTATCTATATACATCAACATGCAATGTTCACCGAATGGGGAAATTATTACGTTGAACATAGGCCCTGGATCTCTTCTAATTGCCTGGATCCAAATGTTCCTTCTTTGGTCAGTTTGGGGGAACCTGTGGAACGACAATTCCAGATGTCACCGACCGTTGCCATTACATAACGGCATACACCAGTGCTTGTCGTTCCCTTTGCTAGTCTTCTTGGCGTCCATCTTGTTCGACTTACCGACCTTAGCCGCAATTTGAGTTAATAGGCGGAACTTATGAATATTCGTTGAGAATGGAGTATATTGCATTCATATTCAGGTTGAAAGAGAAATTATTAAAAAGGTCAAATTGCTTAAATATGAGAAGGAAGGACCAATAGCTTGTCGGCGAAAGTTAGTCACAAAACAGATTATTCAATAGGTTGCCGGTAAAACAATATTTGAATCATTTAATGTCTGACATATGTGCTATGGGTCAAATAACGCTATCCTCTCAATTCGAGGACGATTTACGTTTCTCCTGTTCCAAACCAGTTTTTAAGAGAAATTATTTAGTAAGAAACTGTACATACTCAGCCTTTTTTAACTTACAAAATTGACTATGTCATGCATAAAACAACTTTAACAGAAACATTGTTACATTGTTTATATACAACTCTACATAATTTGAAATATTTATATAAATACCCCACACCCTTTTTTAACTTACATAATTGACTCTGTCATACAAAAAACAACTTTAACAGAAACATCGTTACATTGTTTTACATATAACTCTACATAATTTGAAATATTCATATAAATATTCCCTCTCATATTTCACAAACAAAGAGTAGCATGAAAATAACTTGTACAAATATCTACAAACCTGAATATAATATGTGTCCAAAACAAAACACACAAATAATCCAAACTCTGATTAAGCAACTAATACATGTACTAATACTTCCTTTCAGACAACTATAGTATGTGTGCGTTATCAGACACACAATTATACGTTCAATATAATCTAGTTTGAATTACGATATCGATTTACACTTTTTTTTAACGTATCATTCGGATTATTTCCTAACTGTTAAATAAGAATTCCGAATAAAGCAAATACAAAGGATCGGACATATATTAACGTTGAATTCATAATGTTATTCAATTAATATTCGTATATCAAAATCTACATTTAAACAATCAACATTCGTGTTTTAATAATCAAAATTAGTTTTCAACATTCAACGTTCGAACATTCAGTATTCGGTTTTCAAAGTTTAACATTCGTCTTCAAAATTCAATCGCCGTGATATAGCATGTTTGTGATAAGGCTACGTAATGCAAACACTAATCAATCAATACATTCAACATTGAATTTCATTATTCAACATTCAACATTCGTTTTCAACATTCAACATGTGATTTCAACGTTCGACAATCAAAATTGTGTTTTTATCTTACTATTTTGTTTATCATTCTTTCAAAATTCTTTATCATTCTTTCAAAATTCAACATTTAATTTCAATTTTTATCATTAATTTTGTTTTTCAAAATTTATTAACATTTGTTTTTCTTTTTTATTTCAACATTTGAACATTTAGCATTTGTTTTTCAACATTCAATATTTGATTTAAACATTCTTTTTTTTTCACATTTACATTTGATTTCAATATTTATCATTCGTTTTTTAGCGTTTAACATTCGATTTCAATTTTCATTATTACACAATCAACAATTGTTTTTAACAGTCTACATGAGATTTCATTTTTCAACTTTCGTTTTTGAGCATTTTACTCTTCAGCTGTTTAGGTACTTTTACATCTTCAGCTTTCAAATATTCCGATGAAGGTAAATCCAGAAAAGCGCTTTGGACGCATGCAATTATTAAATGTGTTGTTTTCATTTTTTAACATTAAACATTTTTTTTTTCATTTTCATTTTTCTTAAAAATGTTTTTTCAACATTCGCTGTCACCAGTCAACATTCAACACTTAATTTTCAACACTTGTGCATTCGTTTTCAACATCAACATTCGATTTGAAAATTCAACATCACAAATACATTTTTTCTTTTTTATTCAAATTTTTGATGTCAACATTGAACATTGTATTTTCAATATTCAACAATCGTTGTGTACATTTATCATTATTGCGTGAATGCCACATATCTTTTTTTAGTATTTGTGTCTTTGGGGTACTGTTTTATGGCGTATATACAAGATTTATTTGTTATTAATTTTGTTCTTGGTTGTTGTCTTCTTGACGTCTATGCCATCTTTTTCACTATTGGCGTTTTAAAAAAACTGCCTTTTTTATTCATAAGCCACATTTTTCACTATTTGCTTTGTTAGGGTATTATATCATTGACGTATATGCCACATTGTTTATTTAATTATTGATGTCATCAGTGTACTGTGTCATTGACGTATATGCCACATTGTTTGTTTAATTATTGATGTCATCAATGTACTGTGTCATTGACGTATTTAATACATGCTCTTTTAAGATATGTGTAGTTTGGGTATGGTTTCCTTGATGTAAATGTCACATCTTTTTGTTTTTCGTGTTGTAAGGGTTATGTCAAAATGACGAATATGCCGTTTTCAGTATTTGCGTTGTTATGATACTGCCTCGATGACACAGAAGACCTTTCTCACAATTTTCTGTGAAAGGATACCCTCTCATTGAGGTAGATGCCACATCTTTTGTTTTATTATTGACGTCGTATGACACATTTTTTCATTGTTTGTGTCGTTGGAGATCTGTTTCCTTGACAAATATGCCACATCTTCTTTTATTATTTATGTCGTACTGTACTTGACGGATATGAACATTTTTACTATCACTTGTATCGTGGAAGTACTGTGTCATTGATGTATATGGCACATCGTTATCGTTTGTGTACTGTATCATTGACGATATGCTTCATCTTTGTTTTACTATTTGTGTCATTGATGTATATGGCAAATGTTTTTTATCCTTTGTATTGTTGGGTACTGTATCCTTGACGGATATGCCACATTTGTTTTATTTGTGTCGTTAGGGTTCTGTCTCATTTGCAAGCATGCCACATGTAATTTTTCAAAGATGTATCGTTTGAGTACGGTCTGATTGACCTATATGCCACATTTTTTCGCGTCGTTTAGGCACTGTCACATTGACGAATATTAAATGCCACATCTTTTGTTTGATTTGTGTCATAGGAGTACTGTGTCATTAATACATACAACACATCCTATTTAAGTATGTTTCAAAAACATATATGCCACAACATTGTTTTTATTATTTGTGTCGTTTGATTCTTATTGAAGTATATGCCACATCATTTTCCTGTCGTGTGAGTACTGTCTAATTGTTGTCGTTAATGCCACATTCAAACTACTTGTGTCGTTAGTGTACTCTCTCGTTTGTGAAAATGCCACAGTTTTTTATTATTAGTGTCGTTGGTTTACTTTATTGTCTCATTGACGTATATGACACATTTTGTTTTTAAATTATGTGTGTCATTGGAGTACCGTATTATTGCATATATGTAACCTTTTTTTATTATTTTTGTCGTTAGGGTACTCATTCTCTAGCGTACATGCGAGATTAGCTTCTCTTGTTTCATTCACTATTTGCGTTGAGAGGATACTGTCTCGTTGATGTACAGAAATGTAAATGCCACTTTTGTTCACTATTTTTAATGTACAGATACTTTCTTACTGACTAAAATGACATTATTTCATTATTTGCGTCGTTGGAGTATTGTTTTATTTGGGTTTAAGCGAAATATTTTTATAATTTGTTTCGCCGGGTTCTGTCTTGTTAACGTCTATGCCACATCTATTTCTTTTATTAACATATATGACTCATTTTAACTTGTTATTTGTGTCGTTGGAGTACGGTCTGATTGATGTATATGTCCTTTTTTGTTGTTGTTGGAGTAGTTCTACTGAAATATTTTCCACATTTTGTTTTTGTAATTTGTGTCAAACTCATGGAACCTGAAGTTCAGTTCGTAATCGTTTTTTATATACATTATACCGTTGGTTTTCCTGTTTGAATGGTTTAACACTAGTCATTTTTGGGGCCCTTTATAGCTTGCTGTTCGGTGTGAGCCAAGGCTCCGTGTTGAAGGCCGTACTTTGATCTATAATGGTTTACTTTTACAAATTGTTTATTGGATGGAGAGTTGTCTCATTGGCACTCATACCACATCTTCTTATATCTATCATAAACTGATATGTCGAAAATAAACAGACAACGCCATGGCTAAAAAAAGAAAAAAGACCAATAGACAAACAATAGTACACAAAACACAACATAGAAAACTAAAGACCGAGCAACACCAGCCCCATTAACCACTGGGGTTGAAAGTGACACATTGAAAATTAAAAATTGTTCTTTTTTCTTAACATCCGTATAGATACTTTTTTTTATGTCGAGGACAAAGTAAGATTATGGACATACATATGAATACAATTTAAATAATAATCTGTATTGCAAAAAGCATAACCCTGGCAGGTTAAAATCCAAATATTACACATCTTGTGTTTTATGTACACAAGAAACATACGACCAATGAAAAAAGTTCTAAACGTGTCAAGTTGATAATATATACATTAAACAATTTTTGCGGGTTTTTAAAAGATGCTCTGAAATACATTTTGAGTTTTTGCACCAACCATCACAACCAAGCTAGCAAGTTGAAGTCAACCATGAACAACATGTCCTTGGCTTATGTAAAATTTCCCGTAAATGTCTGATATAGCTGTTTTGTTGTCGCACATCAAATTTTAAGTAGTGACAATATTATTACATACAAATAAAAATTATTTTTTATTAAAATCCGAATACAGAATATCTTATATAGAACTCATAAGAAAGCATGGTAGTAATTATGGAAGATAAAGCACAATTAATTTAGTTGAATTTGTATTCAATAGATAACATACAAACACATAAAATCCATTTAGAATGACCGAATACAAAAATCCGAAATCGAATGAACTAATTTAAGTTCATTCAGGCAAGTTTCTTTATCACGTCAAAAAAAAAAAGCTTTTCCGTTATCTCTATAACAAACAAGCAGAATATTTCCTTGTCTGTTAAAATACAATCCAAACGGCCCATTCAATCAGTTTGATTCAGTAAGAAAAAAAATCGGTTTTTATATGAGTACGCCAGATAACATTTTCATGGATAATATCTTTCTCATAAGAGTATGAATTATACTTAAAGATAGGAGCATGTATGTTGTTTCTTACTCAGAAAAAGTTGATTTTCCCTATTGAAATATATATAACAAATGAATGTTCACATGTTTAAAACAAAAAGCCGAAAGATAAATATTCGAACAACATTGATCAAATACAACAGCCGAGGTTCAAGATTACATTTTGAAAATCAATCATAATCTTTCCATATTTTTGTAAATTTTCAACGGAATTTAATTTGGATGTTGGAAACAAAGTCATTCTAACACATTCATATCAATCTGTATGGTGTAAGACCATGCGTTATTTGTACTTGATTAACATCAAATTTTTACAACCTTTCACGATATTAGAAAATGAACAAACGAATAAAATTAAAACATGTCATATAATTTTGTACGAATGGAAGATTTAATTAGTTAATATGTTGGTTGTGTACCATTCAGTGGCAAATATATCATGCATATTCATGGTGAGAACAAATAAACAATTTATATATCTGAATTATTTTGATATGAAATGTACATGCAAGTCTACCGGGATGAAAGAAAGAAATGAATTGGCAAATGAAGGAAAAAGGAGTACCAGTCAATGAAACAGCAACCCAACGACACAATACAATTGATAATGTGTTCCGATTTTATTTACAAACAACACATCCGTAAAGAATGCCTTTAATTTGAGACAAAAAGTTAATGAGGAGATACATATCAAGTAAAAAAGTGGACGTGAATCAAAGAACAACACGTCTTTGTAACATTTCTATAAATTTTCATATAAAGTTGATTTGTTGTCACAAATGAAATTAAACATTGATCACACAAAACATGTACATAACACAATTGTTAATACTGTCTTCAATCTTAAAAAGGAAGACACCTGTACAGATCATGACAATCAATTAAGTTAGATTTATAGTAAAGAAAACAAATATATCAGGCGCGTAGCTACGTTTACGTCAAAACGCCCGGGCGTACACATGAATTTTGGAGAAAAAATATTTTAATCTAAATAGATTAAAAGATCTGGCTAAAAGCACATGAGCCTTGTAGTTCTTTCTCCACTGACTTTAATTGAAGATAACAGTCGGAAGAAATTTACTTTTTAATCAAATGGTATCATATTATTTATTTGTTAGTTTTCTGTCAAAATCTGAATCTACTGTGAATTATCCTCCCTTTCCTATAGTTTAAAGCAATTCATTATCTGCTGAGATACGATATGCAGTTTTGTCGAGCCTGCGAGACATTCCGTAATCGGCGTTGGCGTCGTCAATATTTATGTTCAGCCTGTGGTTAAATTTTTTTTACAACATCAATAAATTTGTAAAACCTTTATGAAATTTTACCGAATATAGGCAGATACTTTTTTTATGACCAAAAGAGTATCCAGAGCATAATTATGAAAATTTGCTTTTAATTTTTCCGCATTTTATTGAAAAGAACATTGTTTTTAATAGTTTACAAGTAGATACCGTTTGTTACGCATCAATTACTTTGTCAAAACTTCATCGAATTTTATGTGAAAATGTTAACACCAACTGTACGATTTTTTTTTTTTGCACCAGATGCGCATTTTGACAATTAATGTCTCATCAGTGATGCTCGAGGCCGAAATATTTGAAAATCCAAAACCTAATAAAAACATTGGAAGAGCTGATCAAAATAAAACGTACCTAAAGTATAGCCAATTCCGGACAAAAAATCAGAGTTTTGCATGGGGGAGATATATTCCTTTACTTTTAAATGATTTCAAGACTTTTATAACAATCAGCAAATTTCAGTCTAAACATTTTTTTTTTCATTTTTCAGTATTTTACCATTTTTTTGGGGCAATTAACAGACGGTCTTGGATTAAATATTTTTCACCTGCTACATTTGTAAACTTTCATAGATTGTTATGAAACTTGGACAGAAGCTTATCTTCCAAGATCAAGAAAAAACATTTAAAGAAAAGTTTGATTTCTTTTAAATCCTGTATTTGACTGATAAATGGATTCACTTTTTATGGTTTAACCGACAGCAGCAATCCCAGGCGAGACACAGGATTCCACGGAACCCTTTGAGTATGTTCATATCACACCTGACCACCTATGAAAATTTATTATTGCATGTACTTGTCCATTAACGAAATTTGCGCATAAAAGAGGAGAAAACTAGATTAAGTCATAATAATCAAAAGAACGACACCATTGAAAATGTAGACTTGCTTTTTTTATATTTCGAAAGGTTTGGATCTTTGGTCGATTGATTGTTTTACCCCACATCTCCTTTTAAACATATTTCATAGTAACAACTATTGGCCATTAGATTCCAAATCAACACACTGAATAAATTATACATGAAAAAATCAAGAAATTAGACTTTAAAGTATGTTGCTATTGATGAGTTTTAATGACAGAAATAGTATCTCTCTCTCAATAAATCGTTAGCTTCCGTCGGACCCCTGCTGGGAGGTCCCTGGCCCTGTACCTGCTTGGGACCCTCAAACCCCTCGCCGGGGTTCGGGCGTACACTGAAAAATGGCTTAGCTACGCCACTGTATATATAGAAGTAACTTTGAATGGCAAAAGGCACAAACAGATCCAAGGCCGAATAAACTCATTGTCTGAAAGAATTATTCATGTTTATTTATGTTGGTTTCATCTTCAAGTCAAAAAGAAAAACATTTCCGTCACGAATATTACAAACAAGCAGAATATTTTCTTTTTTGTCAAAATAAATTCCATTCGGATTTTTCAATCCATCTGATTCAGTAAGAAGTTCTCTATGATGTTTCCCGTCATCTGATACTACTACTGCAGTGTTGGTAAGATCATTAGTCACATACACACTCCCCTCATCATCTGTAGTCACACGACGTAAATCTTGTAATTTATCCATTTTAAACTTCCAAATTAGTTTACCATCTAACGAGCAGCAGTATATTGATGTAACGTCTGTACAGACCAACCTGTCTCTGTCTACTGTAATGTCGCGGATACTGCCTGAAGGTAAAGGTATAGTACGTATTACTTTACCTGTCAGGTCCATCACATGCATTTTACTGTAATCAATAACAACGTACAGTTTATTATCATTATATGATATTCCGTAGCAGTTACCACTGGTGTTGATTGTACTGGTGACAGAACGTGTAGATATATTTATTATCAGTATGGTTCTGTGACGTCCACAGGATACGGCTACAGTATTAAAATTTACCTCTGTCATAAAATATGGTTGATAGTACAGAGGAATGTGATGGATATCAGTACCGTCTGAATTACAAATAATAAGTCGCTCATTCCTATAGTCGGTAAACACTAATGTATTGTCTATTTTGATACAGCTAAGTATGGTCAGATATTCATTCTTTGACTTTTGGATATTAAACTGTTGACGCAAAATGACAGAAACAGGAAGGTTGGCTTTGACTAATGCTTGATCCTGAGCAATTTCTTCTTCTTTGTTTGGTTCAATATCTGAAATAAATAATGAAGTATCGAGTTGGTTATTACAACAATTGATTTCTTAATCTATAATGCAGTTTACCGCTAAAAGTGATTGAATGTTGTAATATTTCTTATGTTTTGCAAACTATATAATTATGTAATATTGAATTTTTCACGACCTAAAATTTTCTCTCAGATGGTAACGATTTATTTGAGTTTTTTTTTTCACCTTGAACAAATCAAGCTTAGCATGATCCTACAACAGCATATAATCCAAGAAAGATAGAAAAAGTGTATAAATGACATTGAAAAACTTTTATGTGTAGAGCATACATGTAATATTGTACTGGACATTCCAATGCAGTGGGAGCAGATATTTGTTAGACCTACCGATTTAAAATCATGTGCAAGGTAGAAAAAAAATGTATGTTTATGCGTCTTTTGTCCCTTTCATAGTGGAAGGGATCTTTCATATATGAAGGTATACACATGCGTGTCAAATATATAAGCGAGTTGCCATTTCACGTAGGTAAATTGGTGAATTTTTGAGACTTCATTTAGTAAAAGTTTAGGCTTCTGAAAGTGTTTTATTGAAGCCGTACCTGTATTATTTCTAAGTAATATTTGTTTTTCATTGGGTCGCTGTTTTATTGACAGATACACCATATATACTTAATTTGAAAAGGGTTAAAGAAAAAATAATCTACTAACACTAAACTTATAATGTAAGTCTGCTACCTTAACAAGAACCACTAAGGCTGACTGGGGAAGAAAGATATGGTCACTAAAGTCTTCTACCTACCGACAGTACAACTTTTGGCAATGTGAAGCGCCATGTTGGCTATGTGTGATGTAAAAGTACGTAGCCATGTTCACTCAAAATTGAGACCTTGAATTTGATGTCTCATGTCGAGTGACTGCCATGCTTGGTGCATGTTAAGAACCCTTGCCAAAACTCTTTTAGGGGCCCGAAGGTGGCCTACCTTACATTTCCTTCCGTATCTTAATAAACACTTTATTCCCAGTAGCAGTCAAAATTCTCCCGACCTTAAAAACAGATGGCCTCTATTACAGGACCTACCTATTGCATTTATTATTAAATTGTCGCGAAACATGCACGAAATTTTTGCAACTGGACATTACGCACCCAATAACCAACTTTGCCTGAGGAAGTTTCAATCTTTGTAATTTAAGAATCATCTCAATAACGAATCATCTCCTCTTCAGCTGGGGAAGTACACAGTACACTCTGCAACACTGATATCAGCTCAGTGCAGGTCTTTACAAATTACTTGTGTCTGAAGTGCTTACCGTTCAAGTTAAAGCATATAACAAATGTACTGGTTACTAATAAATATATGTGGGATGTATAAATACGAATCCACGTCAGTTCAAATGATGTCTTTTGAGGAGCCCCCAACTAACCACGATAGACAAATCGGTTCAGATCTCTCCGTTTAAGAACCAAGGTGTTGTCAAGGGTTTTCACGTAGTTCCGTGGAATGTATAAGTACGCATCCACGTTAGATCGGAAGTGGGAACGTTGTATATGATGTAGGGTACTGACACGCTTTCTACAGCTGAATTTTTGGTCCTATGCTCTTCAATTTCGTACTTTATTTGGTCTGTTTTAACTTTTTTTTATTCGAGTGTCACTGATGAGTCTTTTGTAGACGAAACGCGCGTCTGGCGCAAATACTATATTCAATCCTGGTATCTGTGATGAGTTTTTTCACTACGTTTTGAGGGTTGCCTATCCGAAGCAAAAGTGTTGACCCTATGTAACAAGTGTTTGTGTTTGGGGTTGTCATAATCCCCAATACCCCGTCCTTCAGACCAGCCGAAGACTAATAAATTTGTTCCAAAATTGTGTTCTATGTGGTTCTTTTGATCAAATCAATCAGTCGTTGTCCCCAACTGTAATGTTATTTGGTAACTCTTAGATGCAATGCAATATAACAAGACTTTTAGATGAAGTTGTTTTCTATTGGTTTATATGCAAATTTTGGTTAAATCTCGAAATCATATATCCTTAATCCACGAAAGTAAATAATCCACAATAATTCATTATGACTCCCCCAAGAGTGTCCGGGGAATAGAAATATGGTCACTATTGGTCTTCCTGCGACCAGCAGTAAAACCTTCGCCTAAGTTGAGAATCCGTTTGGCTCTGCAGGATGTATCAAGTACGCAGCCACGTCTGATCAGAATGGGGACGTTAAATCCGATGACTCGTTTAAAGAGAGTGATACGTTCATTGCACATTAGGAACCCATGCAGCAACTCTTTGGGTGGTCCGTAGGTGGCCTGTTGAAATGCTCAATGTCTGCCCCTATCCAATAAACCCTTATTTTCCAGTGGCAGTCAAAATTTGCCCGACCTTCATCCCGGACGACCTCTTGCATGACCTACCTATTATATTTATTGTTAATTTGTTCTCAAGAATATGTATGAAATTTTTGCCACTGGACGTTAAGAAACAACCAATCAATAATCATTTATTATGACTCAAATTTACTTGAGGTACAAATTACATAAAAAATAAAAGGAATAACAGGACTTTCACTGTTTTATTTGTGACCATTTAAACAAACAATAAGCTTTCCTGATTGATTGATAGTTGGTTGCTTAACGTCCAGTGGCAAATATATCATGCATATTCAGGACGAGAATAAATTTACAATGTATACAATAGGTAGGTTCTGTAATAGAGGCGTCCGGGATTAAGGTCGGAGAAATATAGACTGCCACGGGAAATGAGGGTATATTGGATAGGGACAGACATTTAGCCTTGTAACAGGTCACCTACGGACCAAAAGTTTTCCTGAATAATGGTACTTGTATGATTTATAGGTCAAAAGCAAAGCTGTTTAATCTGAACACATGTCTTTTTGCCTGTCTGAGGTCATAAAACTTTGTTGAATTGTTGAAATTTAGAGACTTTATTCAGCCACGTCCAGTCAGGAAGAGGACGTGTAATCCGGTGCCTCGTGTAGAGACTGCCATGTTTTCGGTAAGACCCCTTGGGGTCCGAATGTGGCCTATTGTAAGGCAAAATGTCTGTCCGTATTTAATATACACTCTTCCCATAGTGGCAGTCAAATTCCCACGACTTTATTACGTCCTCTATTACAAGATCTACCTATTGTATTTATTGTTAAAATGTTCTCGTTCTGAACATGCATGACATATTTGACACTGGACATTTGGCAAACAACAATCAATCAACTTTGTCCGAAGGAGTTGGAACCTTTGAAATTTTAAGAAAAAAATGTCTTGTGAATGATCTCTACAGTAAAACACTGCCGACTGAGCTTGAGGGAATACTCAGTATTCTCTGCAACATTGGTGTCAACCTAGTGCCGATAAATAAACTATTGCTTTTCTTGATTGCCATTTATCTGGTTTTGATCTAACTTTTGATTCCCATTTGGTTTTTTTGTCAACTCATCGTTTTTTATAAGGTTTCACCAGGAACATCACAGAAGAAACCTTAATTACCGAAATGCGCAAGTGGTGCAATACAATTGATACATTAATGTTATTGATTTAAATTGATTGATTGATTGATTGTTGGTTGCTTAACGTCCAGTGGCAAATATTTCATGCATATTCAGGACGAGAACAAGTTCACAATAAATACAATAGGTAGGTAGGTTCTGTAATAGATTAAGGGATTAAGGTCGGAGAAATTTAGACTGCCACGGGAAATGAGGGTATATTGGATAGGGACAGAAATTTAGCCTTGCAACAGGTCACCTACGGACCTCTCAAAGAGTTGTTGCAAGGGTTCTTAACGTGCAAAGAGCGTGGCACTCTCTTTACACGAGGCATCGGATGTAACGTCCCCATTCTGACCGGACGTGGCTGCAAATTTGTACATCCCGCACAGCCAAACGGACGCCCCACTTTAGCACGGGTTTTACTGCCGGTCGGAGGAAGACCAATGGTGACCTTACTTCTATTCCCTAGTCACCCTTGGGGGGTATTGATTTAAAAATATGTTGCAACGTTACGGGCATTATCACCAAAAGGGACCTAAGTAATACTAAATTCAATTTATAGCATCTTTGTATGATGAAGTGGGAACCTTTATTTTGTAAGTAGCTTCTTAATTCATCACAAATCATGAAATCGGAAACGTTTATAGACATGATAGATAAATGTCCATAAAACCGATTGACTGTCTATATCAGAACGGAATATGTATGATAAGACCACTTCCCCACCTTCAATTCAAAAACTAAAAAAGGTATTATAAATCTAACGAATAACCTTCGGAGATTCATAAGACATTAGTCTGTTTGACATCAGTATTTATTTGTCTGAGTGATTGATTGTAGGTTGGATAGGGACAGCAATGTTTGCCATACAACAGGCCATCTTTGGACCCCTCAAAGAGTTTGGGTTCTTAACGTAGGCATCGGATTTAACGTGCCCATTCTGACCAGATGTGGCTGCGTACTTGTACATCCCGCACAGCCCAACGGACGCCCAACTTTGGCAAGGGTTTTTTGACGGTCTGAAAAAGACCTGAAGTGACATTATTTATATTCTCCAGTCATCCTTGGGGGTTATCTTATCTGAAATTTGTCTTCTCTTTTGACATAACATTTAGTGAAAAACTGAAAAAATAGATCATTTTGGATTTTGACATAAATATATTAATATGAGCAGAAAAATATGTTGCTACTAAATGTATATTACAAATAAGTTGTGTGTGTAAAACATCTTTTTTGTAAAGCTGTTGTTCATATATATAATTAAGTAAAAACTATGCGTTAAATTGGCAGATTAAGTCCAAAGGTAATTTTCGACAAGTTTAAAATGTCATAGTGACATCACAAGTGACCTTGTTGCAGTTAAATTTCCAGATAATATTAGCATGTTCGTTTATAAATAAAAAAAACATAATTCCGAGAAGTTTAAAATTTGGGCAAAAGCATGGCTCTTATGGTGACTTGACAAATCTCTTAATGCCTGGATTAATCGTAAATAAATTGTCTCCTTACTTTACGTCATGGTGAACCATTAATTTGAGAGAGGAAGTAACATAACCGTGCATGTAATCAAAGTAATGCTGTATTTGTGGTATAATTATTAATTTGTAGAATTTTAAAAGTCTGTTGAATTGAGGTTTTCTACTTCTGAATATAGAGTGGACGATATTGAAGACACGCCTAGGAAGTTATTCCGCCAATTAATATTGTTCTTAAAAATGAAACCGGTTAACAGATAAAGAAATATGCGAATGGAAAATATAAAGACAGTTCTATTACTTGGAATAAGTTCATCCTCCCTCGTGCTTATTTCATCAGAAATCTTTTCAACCTGAAAGCAAAAAAGAAAAACCTTTAACTGAAAACAAACCATCACAATTATAATGTAGCTAAATAGTACAATGTGTTCTACAGTACATAAAACACGTATGATAATTGAAGAACGAGAACAATAAGGAAGGTACACAAAATATAGCTTGTATTGTTTAAAATATTTACATTTGAATTCTTTTAGTTTTGCTTATGTACTTTGTCTATATGCATTTTTGTGTTAAATCGTTTGTTTTTATAGTGATTAAGATTATACTACAATGTTGTCTGCTGTACCCCTGTTTTTAACGTTTTTATCCATTATGTCTGTTTGTTTTGCTCACACATTGTTGTCAATTTAATTGAATTTAATATGACTGTCATACAAGTGGGAGGTTTTGCTACCTTTAAAACCAGGTTTATCTCACGATTTTCTACAAAAGGAAATGCCTGTACCAAGTCAACAATATGACAGTCGTTTCCATTCATTGGATGTGTATGAGCTTTTGATTTTGCCATTTTACGGCGGACTTTCCGTTTTGAATTTCCCATGGGGTTCGGTATTTTTGTTATTTTACTTTTGATACATACTTCTTTCAAATCTGTACATTTAAAACGGTCAAACTTAAAATGAAGATTTTTGACTGATAGGTCAAATCAATATATGTCTAATTAGTTGATTGATGGGTGTTTCAAGACTATTGTTTTTAGGTGTTCACTTTTCATATTGAAGGAGGGAAACGGGATGCCCGGAGAGAACAACCGACCTTCGGTAAGAAAACTGATATTCCAAGTCAATTAAGGAATAAATAATAACATGAGAATATGCATAATTATGTTATATTTATTCATATGTGCATATTTTTGTCCCTTGAAATAAAGTTTCATAATGTAAAAGATGTTCCGAAAGATTGCTAAGGTAAGCTCTACAACTTACTTTTTTTTATATAGCTTGAACGATTGTACGCGCGCGATGTTGACAGCAGTTACGTTTAGTTACAATCTTGGGTACTGTATATGTCTTTGGTATTACAGAATCAAGTTTTCGTCCCCCCGCGTAACAAGCCGATCGACTTTTTTTTAAAAGAGGTTTGCCCCTTGGAAATATTAAATTTATGGAAAATAGCCTCGTTGGCGCTTTCAAGTGTATATTTCTTGCTAGATTTTTATCAAACTTATACTAAAGGTTAATATCAGCCATATCTCGGACATGTTTTATAATGGTGGACAATCGACTTTTTAAAAAAAAGTTATGCGCTGTGGAAATATTAAATTTATGGAAAATCGCCTCGTTAGTGCTCACACGAATATATATCTTGTCAGATTTTTATAAAACTTATACGATAGGTTAATATCAGCAATATCTCGGATAAGTTCTATAATGGTGGACGATTGACTTTTTTTAAAAGAGTTATGCCCCTTGGAAATATGAAATATGTGCAACACGGGGGAAACTGAAATTCTGTTCTTTTATTTATTTAAGATTGCTTCCCGTGTGAAGAACTTCTTCAGTCCCATAGCAAGTATGTTCGTAAAACTGAATTTTTGTCAAATGATTTGGAATATCCTTAATTGAAAGGGAGTTATTTTGATAAACCAATGTTTAAAAAAACGATATTGCGATCGCAAAAAAAATTACTGAAGCACTCTAAAAAGGTATTAAAGTATAAACGAAATGAAATTCAATAATATAAAAAATGAAATGATTAAATTAATAATCCATGTTAACCTTACTAACACAGATACCAAAATGGAAGATAGCTCGGTCTGTCAATTCATAGTGATGTAATAAACAAGAACAATCTTGTAGAATAAAACAAATCAAACGGTAATAATGACTCAACATGTACATATTCTCCATAATTTTATTCTTTGTACCCCTTTGTTTTTCTATTTTCTTTTAAAAATATACAGTGATGAGGAACGGACATATGATTCACATTAAGCATCCTGTATTTATATTAAACTACAGTTAATGAGTTCCATTAAAATTAAGGAATAATTCGTTCTTCGTTAAGAAAAACAAAGAAGGTGTATGTTTATAAAACAAAATCATGACTGATTGCAGTTTACAGTGGATAAATTTTAAAAGAAGAGGAAATAAGTTCACTTTTTAACAAATGAAGAAAATGAATGAATCATTTCGTACAAAAATCACCAATACACAGTGGCAGTATATCATTTTTGTGAATAGACGATCTCATGGAAATTATGATCAATGCAAACACAATGGTAACGTGGTTAAGAACTTTTTTCTGTGTCACATTTGGTAAAAAACAAACTCCTACTCAGGTAAAAACAATTCAAATGCAAACATAATGATTTTCATTAGAAAGAAGAAATACTGTTACTCTTTAACAATAGAATAATACCAAGAGGCTGTCAGACTGACAGCTAACTTGGTTTCCTGCACGAACATGATATTTGCAAATCAGCATCCTCAAACAGGATCCATTAAAAAAAAAATGATCAGAAATGAAAAGGCCAAAATCAATCTTAAGAGAGTTTTTCGCTACTTAAAGGTCTACAACGCAAGAAAGATAAAAAAAAAAGTTCATGTTTTATTTAAAGTTAAGAACAAACTATTGCACTATTAATCAACAAATTGAAAATAAAATGTCAAGTAAATATACTCTGATATTTATTCAGTTTATGACAAACAACCCATCCTGAGATAAAAACTATACTCGTATAAACTTTAGGTGGAACATAACAAAACAGGGAGATACCTCTGTAAAACAGCTTATCAAATTCTATTGTATTAATGATATGCAATTAATTTGGCTCGTTTAATTTTCATAAAATTATGACAAAATATTTACTTTAAGTCTTTGACAAAAATATAGAAATTTCAAACATTTGAACCATAAACATTATCGGGAAAAATTCAATGAATATATAGCAGTTTGACAAACACTAATGTTGATCACTGAGGAAATATTAGGCTTCTCAGTGATCAACATTAGTGTTTGTCAAACTGCTATATATCCATTGAATTTTTCCCGATAATGTTTGTGGTTCAAATGTTTTGAAATTTCTATATTTTTTTCAAAGGCTTAAAGTAAATATTTTGTCATAATTTTATGAAAATTAAACGAGTCAAATTAATTTTAGTCAAGATGGGTGAATTAAGATTAGTTTAGAACAATGACCTTTAACAAGTTTGAATGTGTCATTAAACATTTTTAAGATAAGATATGTTAGTTTACATGTTTACAAATATTGAGAATGAGAAAGAGTAGATATGATCAAAACCTATTACATTAAATTTTATTCATATTCCATATAATATAACTTGATTATACAGATAGTGGTCTTTGTTTGTTATTGATACAAAATTCATGTAATACTTAAATCCATTCTCTATTAATTCAAGCCAACAAAAAGCAACCTCAATTTACGAAAATACAAGCAAATCAATAAAATACAAAAACAACAAATCCTACTTACTATGTCAGCATGTTGTAACCAGGTTTTCTCTACGTCGTCCTTACTATGCATATCATTATGTTCAGGACACCAGTAGCGTCCTTGTTCACATATTTCACCTAGTTCTTTATAAGTAATTCTGCCTTGTTTGTTAGAGTAGTCTCCATTTCTGCATTTCGCTTTTATATCGTAAGATATGCTCTGTCTTAATTTTTTCTTTAAGTCTGCAATTTTTCTACATAGCTCTTCTAAAATAGTGCTATATATTTTATCATCTACATCTGCTAATTTCCATATCTGTAAGGCTATAGCATTTTTTGAGAAACAGACACATAACTTTCTGAGTTTGGTTTTATCTAAATTGACCAATGCTTTTCCTCTATATAAAGTTTTTCGCCCCTTTTTCTCTTCACAGACTGTATATTTTGTTATATAATAGAATAGAATATGATTGAAATAAGCAAGGGGGAGAAATTTAAATTCAAATATCAACCATGGTGAAAAACTAAATTTACACTTTTCACCTTCAAACATTTTCTGAATAATATCTAGAGAAGTCGATTGCTGTGTAATCATGCATGGCATATAGTATGAATTTGGTATTAGACTCGAATCGTTGTTGGTATCTATAAACGTGGGTTTTACTAAAATATCAAATTTTTCCATCACATTAAGTATGTGAGTTTTGTATTTTTTAAACTCTAAGTCAGGTTCTTTTTCAAAAAGCCTATCAATAATGTTATCTGATAACTGTCCTGTCTTTTTTAGATTTTTCCAGTCAGTCGATTCTACTATTTCATAATTTCGTTTGTTTGGATGGTTATCACATACTAGGCACCTGAAACACTTAACAAGCCAATCTGGCTGTACAATGATATACTCCTTTATGTCCTCGAAAAAAATAATGTTCCCAATTTTATGTTGGTAAGTTAGGAAAGGAAGAAGTTCTTCTTCTTCAATGAAAGTTATTTGGGCTAATTCTACAATAGTCTGCCATGACAATATATTCTGTTTCGATTCGTGTTTCAACACGCTTAACGCATTTTCTAGTTGAATCCACTGCCTGGGAAGTTGTTCCTCAAAAAATATCGTCTCTTTTGCAACTTCATAAATTTTGTCTTTTAATTTTTTACAGTCGCTTTCAAGAAATTCTGTGTTAGAAATAAAGTATATGCCTCTATTGTGATTAGCTTTATATTGACCTCCAACAATTTCTTCAAATTTTTCGATATATTCTGTTTTCCTCTTTTCAACCTGAAAAAAAGAAACAGAAATTAAAATACTTTTATCAAACGGTAAAACCTTTATACATGTTATAACAAAGTAACAAATAGTACTGTGATATGTTAGTGATCTAAACTTCTTATAACCAGTACAATTCAAATTAACAGAAATTAGTTTCTTTGCCAAATATTTACTTTTAACTCTTAAAATCATTTTTCATGTACAATCAAAATCTTGCAAACATACATAACGCCTAATAACAACATTCAAAACACATTCATCGACAGGAAGACGCGGGAATCTACATGTTCATGCAAATCATATTGTAATATTTTAATTGTATCGTTAATGGTTATGTTTTAAAATTTTGCTTTGTATCTCTTTATTCTTAACCTCCAAATACTTAAACTAATGTTCAAATATAGTACAACAGACTGGCCAAGCAGACATAAATGAATATACTGGTTTTCATATTACATCTTGTCTTAATATACGTGACGGAATACAAGTTGTAATTTGAAAATTTCTTTCTTTATTTCTTGTGGTTCATGGTTGTTGTTGATTTTTCCTCTTTTTGAAAATGTTTACCACAAACAATATAATTTGGTAAGTAAAATAGTAGTATACCGCTGTTCTAAAGTCATAAATCGATTGAGAGAAAACAAAACCGGATTAAAAACTAAAACCAAGGGAAACACATCAACTATAAGAGAAAAACAACGGAACAACAGAAACACTGAAGTCAAACAAAAACAATCGCCAACATACATAAAAACGGTCTATTTGATAACAACTGCCATATTCCTGACCTGGTACAGAACATTTTAAGAAAAAATGGTGGGTTGAATCTGGTTTTATGGCTAGCCAATTCTCGCGTTTATTACCTAATCATAACGACATGATGTGAAATCCTTTTACTTAACTACTCATTTATTAAATGTGTTTATTTTCCCATATTTCATTGAAAGTAAAAAACGATGAACAAAAATTGATTATTTCAAATTGTTTTTCATTTAAAATGTTCAATCATTCATATTTGCGTCGGTGTTTACTTGATAATGGCTTAAGCCTTGAATATTTTGGAGCATTGCTCAGTTTAGGCACAGTTTTTAATAGTAACTTTAAGACACAATAAACTGTCAGAAATATTTTTTTTGGCAAATTATATTAATGTATTAATGTTTCTAATTTTGTAATTAAAAGTTGGTAGCAATTTAAAAAAAATGAAAATACCACTTCATAACTGATTTACCTTTATTAGGAACGCTCAAAGCTAAATATTTGAATGCCAAGGATGTATTAAAACGGAAACATAATGACCAAAAAAGGACCCAAAAAGAAAAGCCAAATCCATCTTAGGTCAATTTTGTATGAGGGAGTTGAAACCATCTATGTCAGTCTATATCTAAATAAATGTGATATTTAAGTTGTACATCTAACAATTCATGACAATTCATAATATTTCATCTGTCCTTTGCACAAATTAAACAGTATGTATGACCTTCGGTTTGATTTCGTTCTAACGTGATGTGATCAGGTCTTAATTGTGGGTTACAACATTTGTAGGATATTCCGTCTTGTTTATCTTGAATACTGAATAGACTGAAGTGCCTGCAGTCACTATTAATCGGAAAAGTATTTTAATGTGGTGGAAATTCAATCGATTAAGATTTAATCAGACCAAAATTACCGTTTCAGACTGAAATCTGGCTACCTGTGCCATTACGAACTGGGAGTGAAGTCAGATGCTCTGAAAAGGGTAGATAGTTCCAGCTGCACGCGTTGGTTATTGAAAATATCAAATAGCAAAAAAAAAAAGGTTAAAACAAATTAGTCAATCTGTTATTTATTTTGGTGTTGAAAGTATTAATTCAAATTTCTGTACTTGCTTCTTTGTAATTTTTGCGTCAAATTTATGTTTTCTCGTATATTTACTTTTTCTGTTAGTTTTTATATTTTGTATTCACTATTATTTAATAATCATTTGTAACTCAAATGTAAAAAAAAAACGGAAAGTTTTCATTGTTTACATTATTTAAATCGATGCATCTTATCTTTTAGGTTAAAAAATGCTTATACAATTATCGACAATTAAACAGTATTATTATTAAATCAAAAAAATTATTGTGAAATATGAAATGAAAATGTGAAAAACAGTTTTATTATTAAATTAAAATATTGATTGTGAAAAATGTTGAAATTGTTTACATCACTCCGTAAACAGTTTAGTAATGTTGAAAGTTATAAATAAATTAACAAATTAATTTACTTTCAAATCTTTGTTAAAGTTTGTCACTGGTGCAAACAGTGCGTCCAGAGTGCGAAAGGCTGGAAATATCAATATGGAACTTTCCTAAAAACTCCAGCGTGGTTATACGGTTGTGTTTTGAAAATATCTTGAAATTAAGTCATATATATATATCTTTATTTCTCAATAAACCATTTACATTAGAATTGTACAGAGAACACATAATATTAATAACAAATCAACAAATCAACATATATGTGAGAGATGTCATCCCTTAAAGAAGGTAACTCGCTCTATTCAGCAAGCGTCTCCATCCCCGGGACCTAATATAGCAGTGTATCGTTGACTACTACATGTTTGCTTCATCAATAAAAAAACAACGTGTTATTACGAACAAACAATATAGAGGAGAAAGTTTCAGTAGTCTAAACATCGCTAAGGACTTAATAATGCGCTCCAGACACTCCAGACACACTATGACCATGGTGTATGTAAATTGGTCAAATATGTTAAATCACTGGATTCTTTCACTTTTCCGCAAGTTTATATAACATATCCGGATGACTGTTAAATATCTTACAGAATTCACCTGGACAGCTTACCTATCAGTTTTGTTAAGGACAGATAATTGTACATTTTATGAATAAATCTTATCCGTCGAACAATTAAGACAACATATCAATAAGAAGATGATGTACATAAATAATGTATCGTGAAATGACTTTTATGTTTTAATTACGATATTTTTTTTAAATAGAACTCATACCTGAAAGCGAACCGCCCACTCCCCTCCGCTGTAAAAGGCTCTGCAAGTATGCATAGTCAATGCATATGACTAGTAAAAGATAGCGAGGAGTATAATATTTTTTAGTGCATGTTTCATTTTATTATATATTAGTATGGTTCATCAGAAGGAGGATGGCTATATAGAGTGTAATTATGTTTTGCGAAGAGGAAAGTTTTGTTGTGTTGTACGAATTATTGGACATTTATCTTAGTTTTGATAATGTTGGACGAAATTCTATTATATTAAAGCGGACGTCATAGATATTCTCGGATTGAACACTTGTACAATTGTATATCCAACTCCTAAACATGATTTCACTTCACTTTGCATATACTACACGGAAGTTCTTCAAAACGAAATTATCAATTCCTCTACATTCAGGTCCGTACGCACCACTGAGAGTCAAATCGTTAACAAGCATATCACTGCCACTACCCAGCTTAAAGCCTCTGCCGAACATTTGAAAGTCCCTACCATGTACTGGTTACCGAAATTACACAAAAAAACATTTAAATTCCGTTTCATGTCCGCATCTAGTAAGTGTTCTACTACTAATCTATCAGTGCTTCTTACTACCTCCCTTACTACTATCAAAGAACTGGTTATTAACTTTTGTAAAAAAGCTTATGAAAATAATGGTATTAATTATTTTTGGAGTGTTACAAATTCTTTAGAGGTTTTAGATAAAAATACATGCTTTTGATGGTCCTTTTAATTCGGTTGACAGTTATGATTTTTCTACTCTCTACACTACACTTCCACACAATCTAATAAAGAAAAAGTTTTCATATTTAATAAAATGGTCTTTCGAAAAATCTCATTGTAATTGTATTTGCTGTAACTCGTTTAAAGCCTTTTTCTGTAACGAGAAAGGAAAGTATGCTAGACACACTTACTGGAAATGTGAGGATATGATTGAAGCTTTAAATTTCTCCTAGATAACATATATGTACGTTTCGGCGATAAAGTGTATCGTCAGGTAGTAGGTATTCTCATGGGCACTAACTGCGCCCCTTTTATAGCAGATTTATTTCTGTATTGCTATGAATCTCAGTTTGTGACCAAACTCAGTAAAGACACATCATTGTTACATTTGGTTGATACATTCAACAATACCTACCGTTATATGGATGATATTTTTTCGTTAAATAATCCAGAGTTCTCTAAATATACTACCGACATTTACCCAAAAGAACTTACTTTAACTAAATCTAACATAAACAGCAGCAGTTGTCCTTTTCTAGATTTAGACATTTCAATTTCTAAAGGGAAACTCCATACTAAAATTTACGACAAAAGAGACGATTTTTCATTCCCTATTGTTAATTTTCCTTTTTTAGACGGCGATGTGCCTTTGGCTCCATCATATGGTGTTTATATATCCCAACTCGTTCGGTATGCCCGCGTGTGTGTAGTGATGTCATAGATTTTAACGAACGTAATCAATGCATCACTGGTAAATTATTAAGTCAGGGATTTCGTTACCATAAATTACTTAAAACTTTTACTAAATTCTTTCATAGATACAAAGATTTGATTAGTACATTTGGCTGTACCTGTAGAAAACTTAAAAATGGTATTTCACATCCTAAATTTTACGGTAATATTGTACTTAAAGCGCGGAAATCAATATTTGATCCGTGTAAACTCATCGAACCTTTAAACAAACTAATAAGTAAGGGTTATCGTACCAATGTTGTAATTAGATCTCTGAACATAGTTTACATTGGCACTAATATCGATTTTGTCATTATCAAATTAAAACATAACTAAATTTGTATTTTCTTTTCAAACGGGATATATTGAGACACACACACGTTCATTTTTATCTATAAAGAAGTCACTCCTAACTATCCTACTACCTGTCGATACATTCATTTTTGGCATTGCACAAGTCATGTCTTCTTTGACTGTTCATGACGTTAAAATACTAAATCCCTGGGATGTGTTTTAGTTGATTTCAGTCTCTGATGCATGATTTTTTATTATTAATTG